GGGGCTGGAGACTGAACAGCTAAGGTCAGTCATGTAGGTACTCTATGCCTACATGCTGGATCCCCAATTCAAACCCTGGATACCAAGGCTCAGGAGAGCTCCCCTGATTAGCAACACTTCACATATGTTGTCACATTTTTATTACTGGGAGAATTAAGTGCTGTCCTTGTGACCCTACTAGGAGATGATAACTGGAAGCTCATGCCTAGTTTCTTCTGGTGCCTTCATGCTAAGTGCCTTTTACTTTTTGCTGAGTTTAATCTGTATCCTTTCACTATAATAAACTGTGACCATGAGTATAACTGCTTTCTTGAATTCTATGAGTCCTTCTAGAGAACCCATTCTGAAGTTGGTCTTAGGGACCCCCACATATCCATGTATGCTCTGCTAGCTATATATCCTTGGTCAAATGCTCTAACCTTAATTTCATTTTCTCATCAGTGGATGGAGATTATAATATGTATAGTAGCTACCTTGTAGTGAAGTTCTGGGACCCAGCCTATACTTTATTTTCAACTAGTGCAGAAATGTCTACTTCAAAACTCTTCACCCCTCATGGACCTCATTCGCCTCTTATCAGTGGCTGACTTTTCCCATTTTCATCCAAAAATCATCTCCTTGATGGAAAAGTCAGGTAAAATAGGATCTTTGCTTGAGTTTTGTCACCTGATTGGCCTCAAGTAGTAAACTGACCTTTCTTGATCTTGTTTAAAAGTTCCTTTTTGTTTTCTTTTTAATCTCTGGAATTCTTAAATTTTTTTCCCATTCCTGAATCATTTGGACTTTAACTTTTCTGACCTTACTCCTTCCTACATGTGTGTGATAGTATCTGCCCCTTCTTTAAAAATATGTGATGCTATCTACCCCTTCTTTAAAAAAAATCCTTGCTTAATCAAAAATTTTACATTATTGCTACTACTTTTCCTAATTATGAAACTTATGATCCAAATTAAAACATTAAAAATACTTATACCTTAGAAAATAAACCCTTTTTTAGAAGTCTAACTATAAAGAAACCACAAATGTGTTTTCTTTAAATAACTTAGTTCACAGCAGTTTCTTATTCAATCACTGGCTTCTTTAATTATCTTCCCTATTAGGATAATTTCCTTCTCTGTTAGGATAATCTGAAATGGCAGAGACAGAATATTTTTTTGGAGAGTTTTTCAGCTCTCTCAAATTTCATGTAATGAAACATGCCCATCTGTTCTCTGATCTTTTAAAAATATGCCTTTCTCAAGGCCATGGTATAGGTTTGAGCATCTCCAGCTTTCCCTTCTTGGTTATCAGGAACACCCTTTTGTGCTTCACTTTTAAAATGAGGGTCTCACATTATATGGTCTAGAAGTTCTCATCAAGCACTGTTTGCTTCTTTTTAAAAGATATTATTTATTCATTTGAGAGAGAGAGGTCATAGGTGAGAGGCAGAGGCAGAGGGAGAGGGAGTAGGAGACTCCCCACTGAGCAGGGAGCTGGATGCAGGGCTTGATCCCAGGACCCTGAGATCGTGACCTGAGCCAAGCACAGACGTCTAATCGACTGAGCCACCTAGGCAGCCTCCAAGCACTATTGTCTATGTTTCTACCATCTGCAGGAAGTTGTATAGATGAGCAACAATTGGAGGAGCCTTTGCAAAGAACAGCTTTCCCAAGCATCCTTGCCTATGGCAAGGATCAAAGAAGTGCCCCAAGAATGCAACCATGGTGGAGTCAATGACAGATTTGGAATCAAACCTGACAGTATTATCAATTTTTAAGTCTCATTAATTAACAACCCTTGGAGGGATTGGGTAGTTGAAGGCAGCATGGAAGCTGGTCTAGAAAGTTGGGGTTTTATTATATAGCACGAGGTGATCATTTTCTCTTTGCATCAGTTCCATACATACAAAAAAAAAAGGAGATAAAAGCACTGTGGTAAGCTACACTTGGAATATACATCTATTATCTTATGTATTTAGCACTTTACTTTTCTGGAAACTGGCACTAACTCCCCTTTATTTACATGGTTTCTGCTGGATATGCCATGTTTATTCATTCAGTTATTCAACAACTATTTATTGAGTGCTATGTGTGACACTATTCCAGGCCCTAGAGACATAGCAATGAAAAAAATATACAAAATTCCTCATCGAGGGATCCCTGGGTGGCGCAGCGGTTTGGCGCCTGCCTTTGGCCCAGGGCGCGATCCTGGAGACTCGGGATCGAATCCCACATCGGGCTTCCGGTGCATGGAGCCTGCTTCTCCCTCTGCCTATGTCTCTGCCTCTCTCTCTCTCTCTGTGACTATCATAAATAAAAAAAAAACAAAACAAAAAAACAAAATTCCTCATCGAGCTTATGTTCTGATGGAGGAAATAAGACATTAAATGAAATAAGTAACTATTTGGTACGTCACATAAAATGTGCCATGGAGAAAAATCAAGCAGGAAAGTGAACAAGGAAAGACAAAGAGACAAAGTGAGAGAAGCACTATGTTTTTTGTAGGTGGCCAGGAGGGACTTCATCCAGGATATTTTTGGAATTAGATCAAAACAGGATGGTTTAAACCAAGACTGTGGAGTAGGGGCGGGGGGAAGCCTGGTAGAAGCAAAAGAGAAGCATGAGACACAAGAGAATAGCAGGAAGAGTGGAGAGAGAACCTGAGACAGAATTTTCCAGGTTCTGCATAACATTCCGGTATACTTCTGATAAATCCTTTTTCAAAAATCCTTCTGATATATTTTAAACTGGATCAGTTTCTGTCACTCTGAATCAAAGAATCCTAACTCATACACGTTAAGTAAGATAACTTGTAAATTCAAGGCTTGCTCAATGTGGGAGACATTGGTTACATCAGAGAACCAGAGCTTGATGCTTCTGATGCCAAGAGTACAGATTTAATAGCAGAGTAGAATTAATTTTGCTGTTCCCTAGCATTCCAGAAATAAAATGTGCAAGAAATATCCATTTTCCTGTTTTTTTTTTTCCCCAAGTTTTTCTCTAAATCTGGTTAGTTAACATATATGGTAAAATTGGTTTCAGGTGTATAATTTAGTGATTTATCACTTACATATGACACCCAGGGTTCTTCTGTTATCTTTTAATTGAACCAACTCTGATTCTATATTGGCATTGTGGAAAATTCAAATGGAAGCATTATATTTCATCTCTATTTCTGTTCTCCCTCCACTCTCTCCACCCTGGAGTCACAAAATAATTAGGGAATCTTACGGATGTCTAGACCAGTGGGAAAAGGCCCTCTAATCTCTAAGTCATTATTGTACAGTCCTGCTTTAAACTTTCTCTTAAGGTTCCTGGCTCTCTGCTTTTCACCATGAGGTGAATCCAGAAATCTGTGCTAAGGCTAAAGGATACTTTGCTCTCTAGGGTGCAGTCAGCCCTTCTGAAGTTGTGACACTTTCCTGAAAAAGAGAAATCTTGAAGCAGGATCAAGTATCCACTCAGGTAATAATGGTACCTGTAAATCACTCATTCTCCTTTTCTCTCTTTTTTCTCAAAATAATTCTATTCTCTTCTGGCCTCCAAAGCACTTACATGCATAATGTTTTCATTTAGCTTAGACTTTTAGAATAAACCATAAGAGTAAGAGACTCCCACTTCCAATTCAGCTTTTTAGCTTGCAAAAACTCCCCAAAGATTTTTTTTTTGGCTTTTCTTTTTGTGGCATAATATACATAACATAACATATTCCATTTTAGCCATTTTAAGTATACATTTCTGTGGCACTAAGTACATTTACATTGTTGTATACCCCAGAGATTTAATGAAGGACTGCCGAACTGATTGAAATGGGGAAGGATGAAAATATAGAAATGAATACTATATTTGAAACATTGTTTTTTCAAGTGTTTGTTGAGTGAATGGGGCAAGTTCCATAATTGGTAATTTTGAGCAGCAAAGAGGCATCATTAGCATCGTAGGTTTTAAGGTACAAGAGGATGATGAGGAGAAAGGGTGGCTGTAAGAAAATGTGGGGTAACAATGAAGACCAACATTATCTTTCTCACAATACTCATAATGCTATTTGATGTATCTGAAGGAGAGTAAAATGAAGAGATTTTCTCCACTCTGTCTACCAGCATCAGAACAATATTACTGAATTTGATGGGGGTTGTAAATAACTTCCAGAGAGAAAGTCTCAAATCGAAAGTAAAGCTTAATTTTACGAATTGCAATAATGCCTTTTGATATCTAAGCAATGGATTACTAAGGGATGCAATCCACATTAGAGTTAGTATTAAAAATCTTAAACTTGTTAAGAATTACAGCAGGGGTAGACCAGTGGGAAAAGGCCCTCTAATCTCTAAGTCATTATTGTACAGCAGAGGGTGGGGTGGACAGAAATGCATCAAAATAAGCCCAAGTGATTTAGTATTGGCTTGGCCTAGAAGTTTCTTTTGGGAATTTGAAGAACTCGTATCAATTTATTCATTCTGAAATATTTAGTTAAGTACCTATCTGTGTGAGGCAGTGGGGATACAGCAGTGAACAGGTAAATGGTGAATCGCACTTAGGTGTATTTTAATTCTGAATCGTGAATCCAAGGGCACGATGAATCGAATCAAGCAGGGAACTGAGGGAGCTATGATTCTTCACAAACCGCAGCAAAATCAGTATTTTAAGTTTTCTATTCTTGGAAGCTGGGTCCTCTTAGTTCTGGAAGGTGGGTGGGCAGTGGGATGTAAAGAGACTGCCCGCCGAATATATACACACATAGACTTCGTGTTTGGGTTCAGGAGGTTTGGGACTGGAACTCCAAATTACACCTGCAGTACTGAACTCACCCGACCCAGGAGGCAGGTAAGATTACAGGAGGAAAATGACTCCATCAGGGCCCTCGCAAGGCATTGCCATTTCAGCACGCAGGAGAAGGCCATGGACTACAATTCCCACACGCCCCTGCGGCCGCCCCTCCCGGCGGCAGAGCTCCGAAGCACGGGAAAGATGGAGGGACGTCGGGCGCACTCCTGTTGCGTCACTAGAGTGCGACCCCAGAGACGAACCAGGTGTGGGCTCCAAAAGTATGGCAGCTACCGAGGCGGCGGTGCTATCGTCGTCATCTTTGGAAACAGACTCGGCCCTGGTCCCTGAAGCTGCAGGAACCCCCGCCGCAACGGCCGCCACCTCCCCAGCGACGGCTGCAGCCGCGTCCGTGGCGGCCGCTGCCAGGACCGGGCCCGACGCCAGGGTCTCCAAGGCCGCTCTGGCTACTAAGCTGCTGTCCCTGAGCGGCGTGTTCGCCGTGCACAAGCCCAAAGGGCCCACTTCAGCCGAGCTGCTGAATCGGCTGAAGGAGAAGCTGCTGGCAGGTACTGCAGCCCGGGTGGGGACCAGGCCGAGGCGATGGCCGCGACAGCGGAAGCCGCCGGGAGCCAACGGGCTTTTTTTTTTTTTTTTTTTTTTTTTTTTTTTTTACGCGCTTGTGGCTCAAGAAGTCCAAGGAGGGGAAAGGAGGGCTGAGCCCCGGAGTAGCTCTGGGCCGAAACCCGGGGCCTCTCGGGCTTGGACTTGCCCCGGCGTGGACTCCTCTAGCCTAGGTGGCCGTTGTTCTCACGGGAAGAACAAAAAACAAAGCACAAGACCCCCGCACGTACACGGAGACGCCTCCGTCCTTGGGCAGGCGGACCACAGTCTGCAGTCCCGCCGCCGCCCGGGCGCCTTTGCATTGGGCTCCCGGTGATGCACCCCCTCCGGAAGGAAGCCCGGCCTCGCCCCCCCCCCCCCCCCGCCCCCAGACCTGCATTCTTAAAAATAGTTTGGAAATGCAGATATTACTCAAGTAACCAAGACTTTAACCTGCAGTGATTTTCCCGTAACGGGCATGAGCCCCCCCTCCCCCCTTCTCCCTCCTTGTACAGAGGTAGGTTCCCGATGCCTACCGGGCCACGATTGGGATTGGGACATTCTGGTGGTTGTTTTTTTTAATTTTATTTTATTTTTATTTTTTAGGAAACCATGTTTAATCTGCACCCCTCAGGTGATTCTGGTGTAAGTGGTCTGTGGACCACATTTCGAGGAACACTGAGTATAATTTAAGAGCATTCTTTTTGTTGTTTTTTTTCTTTTTTTCATGTACACCGGGGGAATATTAGAAAAGCCTGAAGAATCTCTCAGTTCGTCAGCCCGGTAGAGTATTTCAGGCAGTGGCATCAAGGAACCTTAGTTTTTTGTTTTGTTTTGTTTTGTTTTTTGTTTGTTTGTTTTGGACACATATAAGAAGCCAAATCTATGTAGAGATGTGAAGATGAAAGATACTATCTTTTCTCTTGACTGAGCTCATAGCAGAAATTTCTGCAGACATTGGTGATAAAACTATTTAGCTGCATATTCAGAACCCTCCTGAATTTGGCCCTGGCTTGTATTTCTGTTGAAAAACAGTAAAGGAAATTTCTTCCTCCCCCTCCCCCCCTCCCCTCCCCCTCCCCCTTGTCCTCCTTTCCCCTCCCCCTCCTCCTACTCCCCCTTTAATGATTTATTTATTTATTTATTTGAAAGAGAGCGAGCACTTAAGCAGGGGGAAGAGGCAGAAGGAGAGGGAGGGGATCTCAAGCAGACTCCTCCACTGAGCGCCTAGCTACAAGCAGGACTTGATCTCAACATCCTGAGATCCTGACCTGAGCCGAAATCAAGAGTTAGCCACTTAACAGACTGAGCGTCCCCCCCCCCCAGGCACCCCAAGAATTTTATTTTTTACATTGTTCAGTGTGCCTTGGCAAACTTCATACTTTTTTTTTTAATGCGAGAGCAAATTCTAGGAATTTGTTGAATAAAATGGAAGCAGTACAGATTCTAATGTTTCATGGGCAATAGGCACGCTCTTGCAGATGTTTAATTCCAATGTTATATCTACTCGTTCTTTTGTTACGTTTTCCTTATACTTTGTTACCTATAAGTATGGGTCATATAAGGGATGTTGAAGGGAAGAATTGAATTAAGACCAAGCTTTGTGGTATCATCAGAGTTGTTTCCTATATAGAATTGCTTTCGTTTGGCCTGATTTGTTAGGTGAACTATAGCTTTTTTGATCCTCAAAGTAATGATTACCATTCTTTCTCTCAGATAGGTTTCTGATAGGATCAAAGACATAGCCTGGCCTTCTGGTTCATCTGCCTCTAACAGCTGATGTTTCTTGTTGAAACTTGGTTAAAACATTGTTTCAAGGCTGTTGCTAGGCCATCCTCTAGAAGCCTCTCACCCAGATGCAGACGTTCTTATTACTCCATTTCTGTATTGCTTTCATTGGTCTATTCTATATTTATGTTAGCTGGACCAGGCTTTCTCAAATGCCATTGTAACCAGCTGTTAGAATTGCCTTGGAAGGTAATTCTTGTAAAAGATACAAATTACAAAGCCACACATTCTGATGCCAGTTAGGTTTGACACCCACCGACCAAAGCCACTCTTATTAATGGTCATAGCCTCCTTTAACACTTATGGCCTCTCCTTATATTGATTCATGTTGTGCTAAAAATCCTCGCCCTTTTTTTGTCTATAGGAATCTTTCAAGGCCCCAAACATCAGAATTTTGTAGCTAGAAAAGACGTTAAGAAATATTCTTCCATAAATGTTACCAATAGGGTGAGCCAGATTACATTACATTTACATTTACATTATATTTACAGATTACATTACATTACATTTCCAGTGTAGTAGAGGTGGTAGGTATGTCTTTGAACTAGAAAGCGGTAAATTTGGACGCAAAGAGGCGAAGTAGATTTGTGGGCCTTCATCCTCTAAGAAGTGTCAAGGTGAAAAATACAGAGAGTTCTCCAAAAGTTTTCTATAAATTTATAGATGAGAGATCCATAATGAATTGCAAGTGAAAGGTGAAGGGTTTGAAGCCTGGGCCTGTCCTTATGGGCTTGTGCTAAAGCAGACAGCCGTGCCCTTCCCAGCATGGTGATATAATTAGAGAGTGGCATTAGGACTGAGTTCCAGACAGACTGTGTTCTGTAATTATGTGGTTGGGCCAGGCAACCCAGCACATCCTTTTGGTCATCTATTCTGGCTTCTCCATTATTGCTTTGCTTCCCTTCTTTCCTTTGTCCTCTCTTTTCATTTTCTTCTGCTCTGTTTTTTATCTTCTCCGTGTCAGTGGTTATAAGGGAAGTTTGGTGGGCTTGGGAGATGTAGATCAATAGAATAGAACTGTTCTCTCCTTTCTCATTTGAAGTTCAGTAGCCAATATTATGTCAATGTATAGATATATATTTAACAGTAATAATGATGATAATAATAATAATAACTTATTGTCAGAGTGCCTTGTAATTTCCAAAGCACTTTCAGATAACTATTTCAGTTGATCTTTACAATAGGAAGATAAGATGGTCCAGATTAGAATTTTCTTTTCTTTTTTTTTTAATCTAAATGCTTCAGAGTTTAAGAGGCAATTTAACTGTTGCCTACTTCCCACATAACCTTTTGTTAAGCTTAGCTTCCTGAAGGAATTGAGGGTTTTGATTTGGAGAGAAGGGCAACAAAAATAGATAGTTTGGGAACTTCATGTTCTTAGAAGTAGCCTTGTGAGAGGTACTCCTGACATTAGGTAGCTGGGGGGTACCAGCAAAGAATACCAGGAAATAGAGAATTAGAAATGAAGTCAAGAACTTTTAAAACTAGCTATAAAAACTAACTTCTTTTCATTATTCCCTGACATCCACTACTACTAGGAATTTTTAGGGTTTTCAGGGCTAGCCTAGATATTTGCTCAATGTGTAAAAAAACTTTTTTTTTTCCTGTTAGAAAATGAATTCTAGTTTCTAAATAACTAATTTTGGAATACTATTTCTTTGTAATTTAGGGAGTGTCTGCACATTTTTAAGTCTGTTCTTTGCTAGTAATGTTATCTTAATCTGTTAACTTTGTACAATATTTTTTGTTTTGAATATTCCATCCCTCCTATATTTATGGAGATCTTACTTCATTTGTCTACTAATTGCCATTTCTCATCCCAATTACTCTCATAGAAGCTGGAATGCCTTCTCCAGAATGGACCAAAAGGAAAAAGCAGACTTTGAAAATTGGACATGGAGGGACACTAGACAGTGCAGCCCGAGGAGTTCTGGGTAAGAAATATGAATGGAAGCTTGATGTAACTATCACTTATTATAGAAAGAAATATTGAGAACAGATAAAGCCATGCTGTTTTCAGTCTACTTTGGAGTATTTCAGATCTCCATGGATTTATAATGCCATCTTCTAAAGAAGCCCTTAGAATGGCACAAGATATACAAAGCTATTAGAAATAGTCACTTGTGTGTGTAGATAGGGCTTTGAAAAAGGGTTTGTGTCTGTAAAGAAAAGAGTTAATGCAGTAGGTCTGAAATCACTATTTTTAGAAAGGCCTGCTTGCATGGCTTGCCCTTGGCAGGCACCTGGAAATTTGGATTTTGAGAGTGTTCCCACCCTTCTCTATCTTTTGACTGGTTTGCTGTGCCTTGGCTCTTGGTGTGAACAGTGTGGTGTATGGTGACCACCTGCTTTCCTTTTAGAAGTCTGAAATTTTGCAGTCCCACTTAGGCAGGTGTGCCTGAGTAATCATCTTCAGCCTCTCCAATTAGGAACTTTGAGAACTGAATTTCTGATGGACTTCCCTGAGTAGGAGCATTGCCCATGTGTTGCTGCTTTTTACATTTTAGAGAAAGGAGCATGCTCAAGTGTCCTCTGTCATAGGAGAAGAGAAAATAAGAAAGCCTGTGTGTGGATTTCACTGGTGTTTTTTCCATTATGATCTTGCTATGTAACATTACTATGTCACTGTGGTAAGTCTTCACTGTGTATGAATCTTGGTGTTAGGGATTCCTGACAAGATATTTGACTCTTATTTTTGCCTATATCAAATTTAATCTCTGAGATCAGCCCTCTTGAGAAAGTGAGCCGTATGGTTCCTGAGAGAAAGTAACACTTTCTTTGGAAGATATAGTGAGCATTATTGCTTGTGGAGGCAGATTGGTGGAATTGATTGATAAGAGAAAAAGCATTTATCCTTTTTTCTTCCCCTCCTCCCTCCTCCTCCCTCTCTTCCCTCCCTCCTCCTCCTTCCTCCTCCTTCCTCCTCCTTCCTCCTCCTTCCTCCTCCTTCCTCCTCCTTCCTCCTCCTTCCTCCTCCTTCCTCCTCCTTCCTCCTCCTTCCTCCTCCTTCCTCCTCCCTCCTCCTCCCTCCCTCCCTCCTCCTCCTCCTCCTCCTCTTCTTCTTCTTCTTCCTTCTTCTTCCTTCTTCTTCTTCTTCTTCTTCTTCTTCTTCTTCTTCTTCTTCTTCGTTGTCGTCGTCGTCGTCGTCTCTGGTAGAGGTTCTAAAGTTTGCAGATTGCTAAAGTGTGTATCCAAAGGCTAGGGTATGTTTTACAATCTTTTTATATAACTCTATCTATAGTCTCAGAAGTACATATGTTGGGTTTCTTGTTTCCACATCCTAGAAACAAACTTCTGTAGGACAATACTTACTTTTTACATGGTCTGGTGTTTGGTAATTTATTCTATTTCATTTTTTTTAATGTTGATAATCCACTAAATTGATTTCATGATGCTCTAATAGGTTGTGATTCATGGTTTATAAAATACTGTGCTACAGTGTCCAATCCATTTTATTAGCGCTAAAAAAATTTGATACAAACATTAGATACAAACCTGGTCTAAGCTATCCAAAGGAAATGAGTGCTTATTTGGAAGAAAAGGATAATGTTGGTGAAGAAAATTCTGTTTTTCAAGAAAGTTAGAAATAATGTTTGATTTTGCACTTTCTAAGATTACAGGAAAAATATTTTTACCGAAGATTTAAATAAGTTAAAAAAAAACACAAGGAAATCCATTTTCCCGAATTAGAGAACTTGAATAGGCAAATTCTGACAACTTAAAGTTATTGTTTCCTACTGTAACTAATGATAATCATTTAATGAGCAACTTGCTAAGTGTGAAGTCTTTCAATTAGGACATGCATGACTTATATACTTAAGTCTTCTTTTTAAATCTATAAGGTAGGTGTTATTATTCCTAATCTTACAGAAGAAGAAATGAAGACTCAAAGAGAGTGCATTGTCATAGTTTGTAGCAGGGTCAGGGTTTTGAGCCAGATCTGCTCAGTTCTAGAGCTTCTGCCCTAACTTGGTGTGGCAAGTACCTGGGCCTCCTGCCCTCCTCCCCTGCCCATTGCAGGGTTACCTAGCAGTCACAGTATTCTTTGCTATTGGTCCTAAAAGTGACTTCAGTTTTTATTAGTTCAGCAGTCCTTAAGTTGAAGCCTATTTGTGGTAACCATTCTGTTCTACTGTTTTCCAAGGCACAGCACCAAAAATATAAGAGGAGACAGGATAAGGTCTGCTGTTGATTTACATATAGACCAATTGTATTAGTTTCTGGTGGTTTTTATTCATTGGTATGCAGAAAATAGTGATATTCAAGGCGATGAATAAATAAGTTTATTTTTTACCCTACAGCTAAGGGATTTTGTTGAAATTTACATTTTAGTCTTATGAAAGCCTGGCATTTGACTAAGATTTGTATGGGTGGAAGAAAATGCATTGGAAATAATTTCCTATTTGGAGGCTTAATTTGTATTTATCACCCAGGGACTTTATGATGATATAATCTGTGCATATGTCAAATTTATTAATTTTTCTTCTAATACCTGTAGTTCCTGATGAGGAAAAAAATTTTTTTAAATGTAGGTATTTTGTCACAGAATAAAGAGTATTTGTTATTTAAATTAGTAGTTCTGGAGACCATTAGAATTTGATTTTTGCTCTATCGTAGAATAAACACTGTGTTATCATCCTCATGAGTTTGTGAACTAGCTGCTTTATTTACCAAATACAGCCTGGGAAAGTCTATAAATAACCTCTCTGAATCTCCACTTGTTTATCTCTTGAAAGGGTAATATCTACTATAACTCTCAGTAGGTTTATTGAAATATGAAAGAAAGATCTATAATACACAGATATATGCTATACTCTGTTAAGTGCTTTATAAAGGCATTTTTTAAAAAACTGAACCTGTGTGCAAAAAAATATACTTTTACTTTCAACATGTAGACTGTTTTTGCTGGAGTTTTCCTGTGCAATATTAATGGTACAGATTCAAGAATTTAGCTGACAATTTAAGATATAATCTGAAATTTGGGTTTATAATTCTATTAATGGAATTAATCATCTTTCAAGATGATTGCAAGGGTGTTGGAGAATTAGGTAAATGGCAATAGAAACTTCTAACTGCAAAAGCTTTGGAATTACATGTATCATACCCTTGCCTGTTCCAAAGTGGCTTTCCTCATTTAAAAAAGTCTGTCTTGGGATCCCTGGGTGGCGCAGAGGTTTAGCGCCTGCCTTTGGCCCAGGGCGCGATCCTGGAGACCCGGGATCGAATCCCACGTCGGGCTCCCAGTGTATGAAGCCTGCTTCTCCCTCTGCCTGTGTCTCTGCCTCTCTCTCTCTAACTGTGTGCCTATCATAAATAAGTAAAAAAAAAAAAAATAAAAAAATAAAAAAATAAAAAAAAATAAAAAAGTCTGTCTTATGATTTGAGAATAGAATACTGGGGCATTTGGATAGGTTTGGAGACAGTTTTTTACAGAGAAATATTTAAGCACAGAAAATTTGGGAGATAGAGAAAGAGAGTGGTATTGTGAGGGGAATTGGAGCCATCAGAACCACCACCATGACTGTGGGAAAGAGCAGCAAGATGCTGCAACACATCGATTATAGGATGAGGTGCATCCTACAAGATGGCCGGATCTTCATTGGCACCTTCAAGGCTTTTGACAAGCATATGAATTTGATCCTCTGTGACTGTGATGAGTTCAGGAAGATCAAGCCAAAGAAGTCAAAACAAGCAGAAAGAGAAGAGAAGCAAGTCCTCGGTCTGGTGCTATTTCCGGGGGGAGAACCTGGTCTCGATGATGGTAGAGGGACCTCCTCCCAAAGATATGGGCATTGCCCAAGTGCCACTTGCTGGAGCTGCTGGGGACCCAGGGATCGGCAGGGCTGTTGGCAGAGGAATTCCAGCTGGTGTTCCGATGCCCCAGGCTCCTGCAAGACTTGAGGGCCAGTCGGAGGGGTTGATGGACCATCCCAGCAGGTGATGACCCTGCAGGGAAGAGGCACTGTGGCTGCTGCTGCAGCTGCTGCCACCGCCAGCATTGCAGAGGCCCCGATCCAGTACCCACCTGGCCTTGGGGGTCCTCCCCCACCTATGGGCCAGGGAACCCCGCCTCCAGGCATGATGGGCCCACCACCTGGCATGAGGCCTCCCATGGGCCCTCTGATGGGGATTCCTTCCAGTTGAGGAACTCCGATAGGGATGGGCATGTTCCTGCCAGGGGTGCAGCCCCCTTCCCCGGGCAGCGAGGCCTCCTTCGACCCTTGGCCCACAGAGTTATGGAAGTAGCTCCACAGAGGCGTGGGCCCGATTACCACAGACATGTTTGTTATGCCGTTGTTCTCAGAGTCTCACAGGATTGTTTGGTTTCCCTTTTAGGGCCCCCTCCCCCAGAAATGCGCTCACCAAGGCCTTAGACTCATCTTGGCCCTCCTCAGCTCCTTGTCTGTTTCCCGTCAGGCTCTGCATAGTCCTTTTATTTCCTTGTTGTCTGTGAAACTGATTCATAATAAACTCTTAAGAATATTAAAATATGGGGCAGCCCCAGTGGCTCAGTGATCTTGGAGACCCGGGATCAAGTCCCACATTGGGCTCCCTGCATGGAGCCTGCTTATCCCTCTGCCTGTGTCTCTGCCTCTCTCTCTCTCTCTCTCTGCCTCTTATGAATAAATAAATAAAATCTTAAAAAAATATTAAAATATAAATAAATAGGGCAGCCCGGGTGGCTCAGTGGTTTAGTGCCGCCTTCAGCCCAGGGTGTGATCCTGGAGACCCAGGATTGAGTCCCACATCAGGCTCCCTGCATGGAGTCTGCTTCTCTTTCCCTGTGTCTCTGCCCCTCTCTCTCTCTCTCTCCTCATGAATAAATAAATAAAATCTTTAAAATAAATGAATAAATAATCGTGAGACGGTGCATGGCAAATCCTGTTATTCATTCATGCTCTCAATTCTTTCCACTTTTCAAAGTGTTGTGTCTCTGCTCATGCCTTTCTTTTGGACAAACTGCTCATCTCTTTATTATTAGAAATCCTACTGACCTTTTCCAGATTTGGTGGAAACGCTCTCTTCCTATACAGCCTGTGCACCTTGCTTTTTTATGTTAATGTAAAACTTTACATTCTATTCTTTCTTTTGTTAACTCACAGTAGGGCTGAAACCAGGTCTTACTTGTTCCTGTGCCTGTATAATAAGTACTGAATAAGTACTTAAGTGATTGAATGTTGAATGATTGAGAAAAACCTGAGTAAAAATTCTGTCAAATAAACTGTCCCTTGAATGAAAAGCTACTGGTTGGGTGGGCCTCAACTCCAGATAATCTTTCTACATACCACTTTTGTAGTAGACTTCCTAGAATTCTGTTTTCACTAATCACCTAACTTCAATGGGCCTTGGTTTTCTTGGATATAAAATGAGAAAGTTAAGTTGGGTAACTTTAAAATGCCTTCTATTTCAAACTGTCATTCTGCATCACTGACCTAGCAGAGAAATCAGCATTCCAACCATGATAAAGTCAAACATGTCAGTCTATTCTAAGACACCTATACTCTGGTTGATAAACCCACTATGCTCATCCTGAGAATCTATGCAGTTTGTTGCTTTTTTAGAACATGCTTTTCTCTTCTCTATTTCAAATTCTAAACCTCCTTTAACGCCTGTCTCAAGCTCTGTTTGAAATGCTTGAATGAAGCATTACCTGGCCTCTAGTGGTTCAGAGTACTCCCTTGTTTGACCTCCTGCAACAATTCTGTGTTCATTTTGACTCTTAATCATATACTATCTTATTGCTATCTAGCATTATTTACTCATTGATTCATGCACCATTTATTTTGAGCACTTGTAATTTCCCTTATCTATATTTTATTTTCCCTGTGAGATTATAAACTCTTTCAAATCAGGAAATGTTCTGTTCCATGAAAAGTATTGTTCTTGGGACTGTGTGCATAGTAGCTGCTCCAGAAATATTGACTGGGGATTCTTTTTTTTTTTTTTTTTTTTAAAGATTTTTATTTATTCATGAGACACACACACACACAGACAGAGGCAGAGGGAGAGGCAAGCTGCATGCAGGGAGCCTGATGTGGGACTCTATCCTGGTCTCCAGGATCACGCCCTGGGCTGAAGGCGGCGCTAAACCACTGAGCCATCTGGGCTGCCCAAGGCTGGGGATTCTTGAATGGGATGAAATTGCATTAGATCTTTGTTATTACTATACAGAGTTTTCCCTGGACAGCAGCAGCTATCATTTACATAATATGATGCTCAACAGAGGATACTAAAGGCAATTTTTTTATCTTAGTCTTTGAACTAATATGATCTATCATAGAAGCTTAGAGAGGGTTTGGGATGGCTTTATGTAGGGGTTGAGATTTGAGCTGGATTTCACAGGATGGATTTTGAACACTAAAGAGTTGGTGCTGTGGTCATTGGGACCCTATTGAAGACTGTACTGCTTTGTAGTGTGCAGTACAGATAATCAGAAATGGTTATAAAATGGTATGAATTGGAAGAGAAAGGGATAGAATGTAGAACAGTCAGGTTGATAGTGATTTAGGCTAATTTAGGCTTATGGCAGTGGGAAAAAAGCCTAGATGAGTAAGGTGGTAGAAGGATGAAAAGGAAGAGGGGTCTACTATTAGACAGCCTAGTCTGAATTTTAACTCCACCATATACTAGTTGTGAGATGCTGGGCAAAGTTCTTAGTCTCAGTTTTCTCATCTTTAAAATAGGTATTATTTTTTAGGCTTGTTATAAGGATTAAATGAGCTAATAAATGGAAAGCATTTAGAGTAGAATTTGATACATGGTAAGCTCAATGAATGATATCTGCTATAAATATTCATGATAATTCTTTCAGCTGCTCAATCATTTCTTTTTTTTTTCTTGTAATTTCTGAATTGTGGTGTTTATACTGTGTTGTTTTACAAAATTATACCCATGGATGAGAAATACTTCAATTATTATAAAAATTTGCTTTCTGTTAACTGAAGAAATGATTATAAACTTTCATTCTCATGTGGGGAAATGTGTTGTCGTAAGGGTAAATGATGTTTGAAATTGAAGAGATACTTAATACATGGGTTGTGTGTTGTACTTAATGTATAGTCTGTGTGACTTTACATTCTCTCCCAGCTCTCCTTTTACCCTGTGTTCTTCCTCAGTGTTTGGTTGATCTGTTACATTTCTGTTTTCTTGATTGTATACTCCTGGACACTGATCATCAGTAAATGGTTCACTAGCTATGATGAGGACTTTTACTTTGTTGATAATAAACTCTATCAAAAGGGTTTATCATACTGTGGTTAAATTGTACCATGTATTTTTCACTGATCCTCATATAAGATTACAGGGATTCCTCTGAGATTGTTCTAAAACTTTTCATTATGTAGTGGTCTGGATTGAGGTTTCTATCATGTTTAACACTTTGTGAGAAAAAAGAATGTCCCTCACATCTCTTCAGAATTTCTAAGTTACAGGACAAGTTCAACTGATAGGAGTGATAGGAGCCCTCTTGTTATGCTAAATATATGTTCTTTCAACTTTTTATTACATGTGCCAGGAAATTATGACCAAAGTATATAGATAATTCAAAAATCTAGTTTTCAGAATAGAATGTCATAATATCTCTTTCTTTGATTTACAGTGGTTGGAATTGGAAGGGGAACAAAAATGTTGACCGGTATGTTGTCAGGGTCCAAGGTAAGAACACTGGAATACTTTTTATTTTCTCTTGAATATTTTTCTTAATGACCTATGTTTTGGATTTTAATCAATTAAAAAACTGTGTATGTTGCATTTACAGGTGTTATTCCAAGTATTAATTAGGTCTGTCATGATATCTGAGATTCAAAATAGTGAAACTATAAATTGGAAATTCTTAACAAATTGATTTATGGAATCAGAAACTCTGCAGTGCTTATAATTTTAAAAAATTATATTGTCTTTTTATGTATTTCTTAGATGAAAGAGAACTTAACAGATCATAAATTCTGTTGGTAGATTTTTTTTAAACCTTGGAATTTTTATAAAAACAAAACCATTAAAAAAAAAAGAACAATACCATTTTGTAACCCATACACTTTTCAGCAAAAAAAAAAAATAAATAAAAAAACTGCTTTGTTCAACAGTTACAAAATGTTTATTAAAGACAAGTGAAGCTTTCTAGGAGATGATGATAAGTTATGTCATTCATCTGTCATTCATTAGTAACCTTGGCTAAATCAAAAAACACTTTTTGAGGCACTTGATGAGTAGGGAAAGGAAGGTTTACACAGAGGCAGGGAGAGTTTGTAAATCTGTGGGTAGCTTCAGGCATTCAGTGGGAACCCTCCTGCAAAGAACAACGATAGAAGGAGCATGAAACAGAGGTCAGTGTGTCAAAGGGGTTAACCTCTCTGGGCTTCTCAGTTTTTCCTTAGGAAGAATGATTTGATCCCCTTTAGGCTCTCTTGTGGCTCTAAAAGAGACAATCTTGTCTGTATTCTAATTAGCAGTGAGATGCTGGTTATAATAGTTGGGGCTAGGGATCAGCGAAAATGCCTATGCAGGAAGATTAATAAGCCTCTAGGTAGAGAAGAATTTTAGCAAGTTCCTGGACTTTTTATTTGTTTTAAAACCCTAACTCTAAGTGGGATATGAATAGTTGTAAAGTGAATTTGTCTAAATTGTTTCTTAAAATATGTAGATGGTCAAAGACCATTGGAAAAAAACCTTCCAGTTTATTGCAGCCTGATGACTTTTATAAAATAGAATTTAAATCCTCTGGCAACATCAAATTGCTAAATAGGTTTCTAAGCACGCTCATTTTCTGAGCTTATCTCATCATGGATACTGGCTCGTGGAGCACACTTTGAGTGGCAGTGGTCTAAGTAAGCTTTTCTTAAAATAAAAAGCCCTCGAGAACATATTGTCTTTGACATCCCATTTTAGTTATCAACTGGAATAGAAACCTGTGTCTTTCAGTTGGAAAGGATCTTTATACCTTAGATAAATGGAAAAATTTCAGTGTGTCTAGCTGTGTAATCCTTAAGATGTTGGTGTTGAAAAATAAAAAAATTTTAAAACAAAAATTGTGTTAAATGGCAGAGTTTGACTGTTTTGCTAATTTGTACCTTCTGCTTAAATAATTACACGTAATTTAGATTTTGTCTCTGGTACAGGATTTTGCCATTTGCTTAATATTTGTTTCTTAACTCTACAATATATGGTTATATTGATGCAGGATTATGGATGATGTTTAGTTTCTTTTTCACATTATTTAGTATTTTTCAAAATCTTTACAATGAATAAATCACTTTTATAATAATAACAAAAAAGATATATTTGCATTAAGGATTTGCTCTCTTACTCCAAGATAAATGATGTTGCATTCATTGGAATATTCATTATTCACCTTTCCCCTTCTCCCAAAACCACAAATCCAACACACTATTGAAAAGTTTTACATATAAATTCCAGGCATATTTCCAGAAATATGACCGGAAATGTGAATACATCATTGGCTCTGGTTTAAGCTTTATTTATCATGAACCATTTTGGTATTCAGCTAGGAAAGCTGAATGTCATACAGTGAAATCACTGATCCTCGGATGACTGTATCCTAAATAGAAAATCCCAGGTGCATCTTATTACAGAAACCTAGTTCTTGGGTGCTTCACATTTCAAAAATAGCCATTTTTATCTTGTTAGCTATTTCTTTTTCTTACACTTTTAATTTTAGATTAGGTATCTGTTAAAAATTAACTCATTTAAATTTAAGTATGTGGAATACTACATTTTTATCAAAAGCAGTTAAAAATTTTTAATGAATTTTTAAAAATAGATTTTGTCTTTAGCTCTGGAGTGAATCTTTGAGATGGCTTTCAAAAATTTTTTGATCAAGGCCTATAGTGAGAAATTAATTTTACATCGTGATCCTATATACACATACATGTCTAAAAAAACAAAAATTTCAGGGGCACTTGAGCAGCTCAGTTGGTTAAGCGTCTGCCTTTGGCTCAGATCATGACCCCAGGGTCTTGGGATGAACCTGGTATGGACCTCCCTGCTTAATGGGGAGTCTGCTTTTCCTTCTCCCTTTGCCCCTCCCCCCAACTCATATGCACATGTGCACTCTCTCTCTCAAATAAAATCTTGAAAAAACAAACAAAAATTTCATCAAAGAGCCTTAACCCTGTGTACAATGTACTCTTGATATTTTTCCTTCTACTTCATTAAGAAAAATTAGGGATGCCTGGGTGGTTCAGGGGTTGAGCATCTGCCTTGGGCTTAGGGCATGATCCTGGGGCCCTGGGATCCAATCCCACATTGGCCTCCCTGTGGGGGGAGCAAGCTTCTCCCTCTGCCTTGTGTCTCTGCCTCTCATTCTGTGTCTCTCATGAATAAATAAAATCTTAAAAAAAAGAAAAAAGAAAAATTGCAGCCTCTTAACTAGGCACAGACCTACCATTGGCCCTAATGTTTGCTCTTTTCTACTTTATACTTTTACAACCAAATTTTATTTTTATTACAATGCTACTAGAAAAATTAGACTTACAGTATGTGTAGGGTGGAGTTGCCTCAAGAGTAGAATTATTTAGCTGTTGGATGGCAAATATTTGATGTTCACATTACAGCCGTATCACAGTACATCTTTCCTTTACCATCCAGTCCTGATTAGAGACATTGCTAATTGAACACGGCCTAACACTCTTTCCTGCTGAATCAAGAAATATCCTTAGAATTCATTTCAATATAATGCCACTTCATACAGCCACTGTCCATTAATGAGTGACTTTTTAAATAAAATTTTTATGCCATCAGATTATTTTGCTCTTATTCTTTGAAGACCAAAGACCATTGAAACTGCTCACTTCCTTTCTTGCCTTCCTTCTGATTCACATCAGTGTGTGATCAAGAGTCCCTCTCTGTGTTCTTCATTACTTCCTCTCCTGTCTTGTAGTACTTTTTGTTTTGCCAATGAACATGTTTCTCTTGAGTCATTTTTTTTCACTATGTGCTCTTTTGTATTACATGTATATATAATGTGTATAAAAAGCATCTAGGTTTTCTGTATTATACCATGTGTACAGAAGTTGATTGATAAATCCTCTTGTTGACCCTTGAACAATGCAGGGATTAGGGGTACTGACCCCCTACATAGTCAAAAATCACCATATAACTTTGATTTCCTAAAAGTTTAACTACCAATAGCCTACTGTTGACCAGAAGCATTACATCAGAAGGAGTCGATTAATATATACTTTGTATGTTATTTGTATTTTATACTGTATTCTTAAAGTAAACTGGATAAAAGGAAGTGATATTAAGAAAATCATAAGGAAGAGATAATACATACAGTGCTATACAATAAAAAATTGCATATAAGTGGACCCACATAGTTCAAACGTATATTATTCAAGGATCAGTAATATTACCGTTGCCAAGGGTTTCATGTATTCCCAGATCTCTAGGCCTATTGGATCTCTCTTACTACATATGCCATAGACACTGACATTTATTTTATCTAAGCAAGTTCTGTTAGAAATCTTGAGCGCAATTAATTTCATTTCTTTTTCATATCTGTGATTTCTGGTAGCCGAGGCAAAACATGGTACTCATGAGAAGCAGGAAGCATTACCTGTCATTTCTTTAAGCAGCAAAGTTTCTTTGGGCATTAAAGTGAGGAAGAAATTTCTTACCGTGAGGGATATTGCATGACAGACAGTGGTTCTCAAAAATAGTTTTACAACAGATACAGAAGTGGATCTAAATAAGGTGTATTGGGTAAGGGACACCTGGGTGGCTCAGCAGTTGAGTGCCTGCCTTTGGCCCAGGGCGTAATCCTGGAGTCCCGGGATCGAGTCCCACATCAGGCTCCCTGCATGGAGTCTGCTTCTCTGCCTATGTCTCTGCCCCTCTCTCTCTGTGTCTCTCATGAATAAATAAATAAAATCTTAAAAAAAAATTAAAATAAACACACCAGCAAAGGAAAGCAAGTGATAACATATATATATATGTTATATATCATATATATAAATATATATATATATATATATATTTTTTTTTTTTTTTAAAGATGTATTAGGTAAGATAATTCTGAGAGAAGTTAGGCTAATGTGTCCTTTTGGCCTAACTTGATCTAAATTCCTAGAAGGCGGCAGTGGTTGCATGGTCCCTCTACTAGCCTCTCTAAATTAGACTTTGCGCTAATCACTGAGCAGAAGATGGATAGCAGATGTCCTTAGAAGTAACAAACTTTGATGAGGTTTTGTAGTGCTACCTTTATTAGTTTCCTAGATTGCTGATTAAAGTCAGTTACTTATATGTGCTTTAGAAACCACATGAGCAGATGGAAGGGTTGATGTCCTATTATGAAATCACTGATGCCATATAAAGACTAATAGCATTTTCCAGATGTAAGGCTACTCCCCTGTCTCTGTGGAAATAAACTAAAATGGTACCTGTAGGCAAAGCCAACATTTCCTCAGAAAGCAGCTTTGTATCCCTCCCATTGAACCTTCCGCCAAGTATACAGTAGCATTTTTAGGTTAACCAGTCAATGTCAACTCTGAAATGGGACTTGAATATTACTCCTGTGAAATATAAGCCCACTCTCCAGGACTTGCACATTTCTGTCATTTTCTCCAGAGGCTAGTCTAATTTGTACCTTGTCTTTACACTCTATTAATATTCATACATTTCATAAGTACTATATTGAAAATTTGAAGGGCTTACACTTACTATCTGTAGAGTTGTTCCTTTTTAATGAAGACATTCGAGGTCACGTGGTCTTGGTTTGGTAAGTTTAAAAAAAAAGGTTCTTCCTAGTTGTAAATAATATTCCTTTGTTTGTGAAACTCTGAATCACAAACTTTCAAATCAAATCTTGGAAAAAGCAGTTGCCTAGTTGAGATGAAGATGATTATGTATCTTTCTGTAATATAAAAACATTTTCCTTTATACTGAAGAGTACAGAATCCAATTTGCTCTTAGAGCTGTTGAGCTTGCTCAGGAGTTCAGGGAGCTTAAAGATGAGTGAAGTAGAGAGTACATACTACTAGTATCAGAGAGAAACTGTGAATCCCAAAGAGCACACAATTCACCGGAAACTTCTTTAAGAATTCTGTAGAACCTCTTTTTGTTTTGTTGTAGTTAAATTATGTTGTAGTGAATACCTTAATAGAATTCAGAATTACCAGGTATGCAACCCATCTCTGTGTAGAATTTAGGACAGTAAACAGAAATACTTAAGACCCCATAGGATAAAATGGTAGCGTGTGTGTGTGTGTATTCCTATGTTTTTGTTTTTTTTTTTTTCCTCTAACCCATATCTTCTTGGTGGTGAGGTTTTGTTTCTCTTGGAGGCTTACCGATCTGGGTGGATTTTTCTTAGTAGCTTTGGGACCATTGACTAGAATTAAAAAATTATCACTAGATGCCAAGACAAGGGAGATCTAGAAAACAGCTATGATTTAGATCAGCAGTCCTTTGTATTTCTCACAAAGTATGGTCCAGGGACTTCTGAGGCTTTTGAGGGGTCTGTTGAAGTCAAAACTGTTTTTGTAGCTTTGCAATCTGATAAGCATATTGTGGAGTTTTTCAGAGGTTACTTGGGTGATAGCATGGCTCTGATAGTTAATGGGATGTGTGCTTGTGTATCCGTGTTTTACACATTTTTGAGTTTTAATTTCTAACAGATAAGTATCAACAGATAAACCTCATGAAAAAAAACTTGTGGTGCTAAGGTTTCTAAATAACTTTCAGGTGTATATAGGGGTCTAAAACCACAATGTCTGAGAATTGCTATTTAGGTATTATTTCCCTTAAAAAGAATCCAGTAGGTAGCTCACAGTTGTGAGCGCAGAACCTGAAAGGATTTGAAACTTGGTGGATACAATCTGCATGTCCCAAACTATGGTGAAATGTGGAAAATTGCACAGATAAGAACTTCCCCAACATGGATATAATTCTATCCACAACTTTTTATTAAGTAGCTATACTGTGTTTCCATCTAGTAAGAAACAATAGAAGAGCAGTGCGAAATCCAAGCTAACAGTTTGTAATTGGAGAAGATAAGGATCAATATTTATCTTTCTCACAAGCACCTCCTAGAATGTACTTTGTACATTCACAGTCCTTAAGAAACATGATTGAATGAATGAACACACTAGTGAATGAATGAATACGTGATATGGGTTTGATACAGGCTTTCATTCTTCTTATGTAAGGAACTTCTATTGGGCACCTACTCAACTATTCTGGCAGGTGGTGTTTGGAAGTTGAGATGAATTAATAGGGTGGTTTTGAAAGATGAACAGGGTGTAGGATTTGATTCTTAGAGAAGAGAGGAAGCTCAAGGCTAGGGAAGTATATGTGCAAGAACCCCTGAAGTCGAGAGACTAAAATGAGCATTGCACACAGAAAGCATGTTCCAAGATTAAAAGGTTCCTGGTTAAAACTTGTTACATAGAATAGCTCATACATTTCCAAGGCACAGTAAACATGATTGCAGGTTTTTTCTCATGCAGTGAGACAGATGATTAAGGCAAAAATCAGAGCATTTTCCTGGAAAGTCACTCTAACTAGCTGAGTTACTCTAACCACTGTTACTGTGAGTCTTTCCGTATTTTTTTTAAAATAATAATGATGATAATAGTGTTGTTCAGTGTTGCTTACCATGGCCAGGTACTGTGTTCTCAACTCTGCCCTCCTGAGGTACTATCATCATCTCTGTCTTAAGATAAGGACAACAAGGATCTAGCAGGAAAGACTGCCTTAGCTTACTTTACTCATGTGATGGAGTCAGGATTCAAACCTTTGAGTCCACACTCTTCCCATTCACCCTGCTGTTTGTACTTCTCTCTATAGTATGCTTAATCCTGCTCGATTGTTCCAAAATATGGAGGCAGGAATGGAGCATCTTGAGTAATGAGACTGAATGTTTAGTTACAAGAAACTAATTTTTGTTAATACTAATGGAATTTTGCAGGGAACTTTTAAAATTTTATTTTAATTCCATTACAGTTAGCATATAGTGTTATATTAGTTTCATGTGGACAATATAGTAATTCAGCAATTCTGCACATTACTCAGTGCTCATCACAAGTGTACTCTGAATCCCCATCACCCATTTCTCCCATCCCCCCACCCAACTCCCCTCTAGTCACCTTCAGTTTGTCCTTTCTAGTTAAGAGTCTGTTTCTTGGTTTGTCTCTTTTTTCTTTGTTCATTTGTTTTGTTTCTTAAATTCTACATATGAGTGAAATCATATGGTATTTGTCTGACAATACCAATGAAATTCTTAAAAGTTAATTCAAATACATTGGAACATTCCCTCCTGTTTTCCATTGTTTAAAAAAATTATTTTGAGGGGCACCTGGGTGAGGCTCAGTCATTTGAGCGTTGGATTCATGATTTCAGCCCAGGTCATGATCTTAGGGTCTTGAGATTGAGCCCCACATTGAGCTCTGTGCTCAGCGTCGGGGAATCTGCTCCTCTCCCCACCTGTGTGTGTTCATTCTCTCTCAAAAAAATAAATCTTGAAAAAAAAAAAGAATATATTACACAAGTGTGCCCTGAGGTACGAAGTAAAATAGTCCTTGGTTAACTATGAATGCTCTTAATTCTTTGCTTATGAATAAATGATCAGTTCTTAGAAGTGACTTTTTTCCTTTCAGAGAGCTCAAGAAGTAGCTATTTCTCTTTATTATTAAGAAAACACATGTACTATTAAGTACACTACCTCTGTGCTAGTTTGACTCACTTTCAATATATTTAGCTTTTGCTTAATTATCTAATCAAGTTAATGAAATTAGTCTTAGTATTTCATGTAAGAAATAGTAAACTTATTTATTTTTAAATTAATTTTAATTATGTGGGTGGTAAGATTGTTGAATGTTGTGATGGCCATTTAGAGATTTATTGTACCATTCTTTGCACTTCATAAGTATATTTGACTTTTTCCTTCAGAATCAAAACTGCCTAGTATAAAACTAGTTTTAGAAATTTCTTTGTGGGATGCCTGGGTGGCTCAGTGAGTGTCTGCCTTTGGCTCAGGTTGTGATCCCAGGGTCCTGGGATCAAGTCCCACATTAGGCCCCCACCAGGGAGCCGCTTCTCCCTCTGCCTCTCTCATGAACAAATAAATAAAATCTTTAAAAAAAAAATTCCTTTGTAATAACTGTGTTTATAAGTCATAATTGTCAATAAAATAAGGCTTTTCTTTGTCATATTGGCTGGTGTGGGAAGTTTGTGAGTGCTCCTCACTTACTATATATCAAAAATTAATAAAACAGCTGCAATCTCTTATTTTTGCCTTTATTTTGTGTCAAGTTGGCAGTATTAGTAAAATTCTGTAAAAACTTTTAGACATCTATAACAGTTTTCCTTTACCTTACGACCTATTTTTCTTGTTTGTTTCTCTTCCTCTAGAGGTATATTGCCATTGGAGAACTGGGGAAAGCTACTGACACACTGGACTCTACTGGGAAAGTAACAGAAGAAAAACCTTACGGTATGATGTTCATCTAATGTAGTTCTCTTTTTAACATTTAGAGAAAGTTTCTGTGAAATCAGAATTGTAAAATCTCTTACTGAATATTAACAGTGATTGTTACAGTTTTTAGTATATTTCCTTGGGTTAATGGGATTGCAAGTTATTGACCACATTTTTACTTACTTGGTGTGAGTTTGTTAAAAAAGATTTATCATAACTGCCTCTTTTCTTCTGATCAATTGTTTTAATATTCAGAGTTCTTCCAAAGAATTCTCTTGCCAAAAAAACACATATAGCTAGGAATTAGGGATTTTACCTGTGTCTTATCATTGTTTATTTACTTATTTCTTTTAACAATTATTTCTTAGCTTTTGAAGTGTATCAGGTTTAGTGCTTTACAACTAATCTTGTTTCTGTGCTTTTGGTGTATGTAAAAAAACATGACAGAGGGAAAACTATTTCTCTGGAAGTAAAACAGAACTCACTGGGGCCCACCTTGATTTTTCTACCATTCCTTCTTTTACTACTGTAAGGATAGATAAATGAAGTGGTTTCCTAGCAACTGTCAGGGTGTGATACTATTCATAATACAGTGGTTGCCATTCTCTGTAGTCAGTTCACCTACATTATTATGTCATCAATTGTGAATTATTTTTGTAGGCTTTTTTGTTGTTGTTGTTTTGGGTTGTTTTGTTTTTTTGGCCTATGTTTAATGTTACCTCTTTTTATTTAGCCAGCCCAACATCTGGCTTTCCTATGTTTTTGTGTTGAGTGTCCTTAATATATATTCCATATTGCCCTAGTACTAAGACCAGTCTTCTCCTTGGTCATAGTAGCTTCGCTTGTCTTGTTAACATTTATATGTAACTTAGTGTCTTAGTTGATTAATCAAGCAATATAATCAAAAGATAAATCACTGATTTATGGTGTTAAAAAATAGGTATTAAATTAGCTTTGAAACTATTATTATTAGAAATAATAGCAGACCCTCACTTAATAGTAACCCAACCATAATTTTCAATAAAAAGCTTTTGAGAGATTAGAAAGGCATAGGACAATTGGAGGATGTCAGAGATTTCCAGAAATACTAAAGTATATGCCAGTACCTATATAATTAGAAGAATGGTGAGGAAGTAAAATTGGTAAGACTTCTTGATACGATAAAGTAGTGAGGGAGAGGACATTGACAACCAAGATCTAGGTTTCTAGGTTTTAAAGTTGGTTATGTGATGATAATTTACTGAGTAGGGATACTAGAAGAAGACCAAGGTGATGAAAATACAGTTGACCCATGAATAGCACAAATTTTTCTTGTGTGGGTCCACTTATGCATGAATTTTTAAAACAAATACAGTATGGTATTAAAAATGTAAATGTGTTTTCCTTATGATTTTTTTTTTAAGATTTTATTTATTTAGAGAGTGTGTGCTTGTGGGCAGGGGGAGGGGCAGAAGGAGAGAGAGAATCTCAAGCAGACTCCAAGCTGAGTGTAGAGCTCCATGCAGGGCTCAATCTCATGACCCTGAGATCATGGCCTGAGGTGAAATCAAGAGTCAGTCGCTTAACTGAATGAGCCACCCAGGTGCCCTTTCCTTATGATTTTCTTAGTAACATCTTTTTTCTAGCTTACTTTACTGTTAGAATAAAGTATTAAATATATATATAATATACAAAATACATGTTAATCATCTGTTTATGTTCTTGGCAAGGCTTTTAGTCAACAGCAGGCTATTAGTATTTACGTTTTGGAGGGAGTCAAAAGTTACACATGGATTTTTTACTTTATGGGGGTTCTGTGCCCCTTAATCCCTTTGTTCAGGAGTCACCTATATTTAAACATTCCCTTCCTTCTGGCTCTTAATAGGCATTTTGGAATTTTAAAAAATTCTGTATTGTGCAATTTGTAATCTTACTTTAAAGAAAACTTAGTTTATTAAAATCATCGTATTATATGTTGAAATAAGTCATGGAGAAACCAAGTAACTTTCTTCAGAACGGGAAGGGAGACCTTCTTATTGTTTATTGAATAGTGTTTGTAGTTCCAAAAAATAAAAGCTCAGAGAATTTTGCTTATTAACATGAGTTTTCTATGTAATTTTACTAAATTAACAAATGTTGGTCATTGATTTCAACTGCTATAGCAGGTACCAAGGGGAAGATTAATAAGTATGAGACCTAACCTGTATCCTTAAGGAGCTTCTGTCTAATGGAGAACTAGGACCTATGTTCTCAACTCTCTAAGACCCAATACCGAGACCTCTAATCAATATTTTACAATGCTTCTTCACTGTCTTGAACTAAAATTCAGAGATACTCTCTCCTACCTACACATTAGGGAAAAAGTCACTAAAATACAATAAACAATATAAGGAACAAATTAAGGATTTTATAACGAATTAAGTATGTTGCTATGTAAATACATGACTATTACTGCACTAAAAGTCATAACTTAGTAGTTAGATGTTGACACAAATGTGAATGCCATAAGTACAAAGGCAGACTGATGCAGGTATGTTGTATTGGTGATGCAGTATTAGAAAATTCAGTATATGGAAAACAGCACAAAAAATACTTTGTGTTTAAATGGAAAATGGACTTAGATTCTGGACTCAGGGGATTATAAACCCACATGAATATCTGGCAGACATCCAGAAGTTATGTAGCACACAGAACACTTCATCGTGCTATCCCATCCTTCAAATTGTAGGACACCCAGCATTTCTGGTCCTCAACTATGAAATGCTGCTGGTGTTGCCACCCCACCTGGTCACTAGTGGTAACAATAAAAAAATGCAGTTCTTAATTGACCTGTTGAGGATAACTGACATATGGGTATGGTGACTAAGACAGGATGCAGTAAATGGCAAATGAATGCTCTTACGTCATTTTTGTTCTATCTAGACAAACGCTATTTTTAGCCATTGTTTCAGATACCTGAAAGCTCAGAAGAATAAAAAAAATGAGTCTGGCTCAGGAGACTCAAAGCTCAAACCATATTTATAGGACCCTTCCTTTTATTCTCTTTCACGGCACGTAGAATAAAGTATAGTGTGTGAATAAATAAGGCAGGCAATAGAAATATGGCAAAGATGACTGCAGCTAAGTCATACAAAAGGCAAAGCATCTTCCTACCTTCTGCTGCTCTTTTCTCATCCACGTCTAGGTCTTAAGTCTCAGGCACAGTTGCTTGGATTTCTGTGAACACTTGGCTTCATTGTGCTCATCTGCTCTTCACTGAGCTCAGGATACGAAGGCCATGGCTTCCCAGGCTCTTAGATGTGGACCAAGCTTCTGGGAAGGCCTGACTGCTTCTGCAATAAGAATAGGTTTTTCAGTCTCTTTTGTGGCTTTTCTACTGGAAGGCAAAAAAATGTGGAAAAAAAAAAAGTGTATCTTATGCTTATCCTCTGTTCTAAACACTGCAAACCCCCTGATCCCAAGATAGGAACTTACCAAGGTCTTCTCGAGTGGATGTAGCTAATATCTAGTGGGAGTGGCTCCTCTTTGGTCTGTGCTTTGGCTGCATACACTTCCTGGAGGAAGCTGACAAGTTGAATTGAGTCTCGAACTGTGATTTAAACAAATAGAGCACACTTTTTAGTAGGGCTGCTGTGAAGCTGGGGAATCAGTCATCTTATAGTGCCTTTTGTTTGTATTTAAACCTTTTTATTATAAAGTATTACAAAAATAAAAAGTGAATGAAACTTAAATTTATAGCTCAGTGAACTATCGCAAAGCAAACCTCCCTGCAACTACCAGTCATGTCAAGAAATAGAAGATTCCTAGAGACACCTTTCAAGCCCTAATCCATATATAGTATTCTTCTGTTGATACACATTTGACCCCAGTTTGAGGCTTTATGAAGAAAGCTGCTATGTGTATTTTGTACCTGTGTTTTGGTAGACACATGTACTAATTTCTTTTGGATATACCCCCAGGTAGAATTGCTGAGTAATGAGGTAATCCTATTATATGGAAAATAGTCAACAGTTTTCAAAGCAGTTGTATAACTTTGCATTTTCACCAACAGTAAATGAGTTCCACTGACTTGGACAACACATGGTATTAACAGTGTTTTTAATGTTGGCCATTTTGTTAAGTGTGTAGTGGTATTTTATTATGATTTCATTTGATTATTAATGAGATTTAGCACTTAATCATATGTGTTTTGGCTTCTTAGCCATATTCTTTTGTGTATTGTCCAGGTCTCTTGCCCATTCTTTTTGCTTTTGTTTTTGATTTTCTTTCTGTATTGAGTCACCTTTTTAAAAAAAATGATTTGGGGCAGTCCGCGTGGCTCAGCGGTTTAGCGCCGCCTTCGGCTCAGGGTGTGATCTTGGAGACCCAAGATCGAGTCCCACATTGGGTTCCCAGCATGGGGCCTGCTTCTTCCTCTGCCTAGGTCTCTGCCTCTCTCTGTGTGTCTCATGAATAAATAAATAAAATCTTTAAAAAAAACAAAACAAAACAATGATTTGTATGAGATCTTTGTATACAATGGATGCTCTTTTGTTATATGTCTTATGTATATTTTATTCTATTCTGTGGCTTTTATCTCTCTTAATTTTATCTTAGAAAACAGAAACTTTTAGTTTTATGTCTTTATTTTTTTTATTTAAACGTTTTTGTTTTTTTTTTTACTTATTTATTCATGAGAGACATAGAGAGGCAGAGACATAGGCAGAGGGAGAAGCAGGTTCCCTGCAGGGAGCCCCTTGTGGGACTCAATCCCAGGACCTCAGGATCACGCCCTTAGCCGAAGGCAGATGCTCAACTGCTGAGCCACCCACGCAACCTGAAGGTTTTAGTTTTAATTTATTTAGTTTACTTTATCAAATCTTTTCCTTTGTGATTAGTCCAATTCTTTTGGTGACCAGTTAAAAAACTGTTGTATTGTCTTAAATCATGAGCAGACACTGAATTTCATTGAATACTTTCCTAATATCAGTTGATTTTTCTCCTTTTTCAAATAATTAACTAACCTTACATTTCTAAAGTAAGCCCAAATTGATGATAAT